AACATACCGAACTGTCAAATTATTTATTAAACCACGCCCGCAACAAGCAGCGGTCTATCATTGTCACTCTAATCGATCTCAAAAATGCATTTGGAGAAGTGCACCATAACCTGATAAAATCTATTTTAAAAAGTCACCACATTCCTGACGAAATCACTGGTATGATAGAAAACCTTTACACTGATTATGGTATCTCAATCTTGACGAAAAATTTTATAACCATACCGATATTTGTAGAACGTGGCGTACTGCAGGGAGACTGTTTGTCCCCCTTGCTTTTCAATTTATGCGTGAATTCACTCATGCATTAACACGATAAATGATGAAAGGATACAGTGCCTTGGTTATGTTAATGATATATCTTTAAACCCTCGTCATTGGTTCCAATTTGCGGACGATGCTGCAATTATATTTGCACATAACGAAGACAATCAACTACTGTGCAATGCATTTAGTAAATGGTCCTCTTGGGCAGACTTATATATCCGAGTAAATAAGTGCCACACTTTTGGGATCCAAAAGTTTGGGACAAATGCAGTCCAGTATAAACCTACTATAAAATCTCTGGCCAACAGGTTCCCCCAATCGAGGACGGTGAAAGTTTTATGTATTTAGGTAAACAATTCAATTTTGAAATGAATTGTACTGAAACCAAAATTGAGATCCTTGATGAAATCCAACATTACTTAAAGAAAATTGATCTTATCCCAATAAATCCTTTTTCCAAAATTCGCGTGGTTCAAAGTTAAGACTACTCAAAGTTCTTCTGGCGTTTTTCAATCTACCCGCTTACTACAAGCTGGATACATTCTAATCTGGACTCTATAATTTCCAAATATATCCGGAAATGGCTCCAGATCCCAATCAACGGTAACATTAGCCATCTAAAGCTTCCTAAATTACAACTGGGAATTGATTTGACAGTGCGCAGAATCTTGAGGACTCAACTCCGATATTCAACAGCTATATACCAAAACGTCATCAAAAAACATCGTCACTGATGATATTATTGAACGGGCGGCTGCTGGTATCTCTGAACAATATATGTTAAGAAACGCTGCAAAGAAGATTCTGGTAAAGAAAAACCTTAACGAAATTTGGTCAAACTTTGTAGAACTAAAAGAACAATACGTGATCATTACCTGCTTAACTGATACTTGCTATAAGAAGATGATTAAAGTATGGCACGAAATTGTCACTCGAATGCCCAGCAATATAGTATGCTTTGCTAGGAGAGCGTTAATTTTAAGTTTAGGAAATAATTCTAATCTAAAGCGCTGACTCCGCCAACTGTGAGTTGTGCAACAAGTTGCAAACCCAGCTACACGTTTTTTCCAACTGCAAGGTAGCCCTAGAACAACAACGCTATACTTGGCGGCATGACTCGATTCTGATGACTGTTATTCATCACTTAAAAATCGCAGTTGGTGCAGATCTTCGACTGTTTGCGGACTGTCCTAATTTAGGTATGACGTGTACTTCAACTTTATTTCGAACGCTAAGACCTGATATAGTGGTGGATTTTAAGGGTTCTGTATATGTGGTTGAATTAACTGTTCCCTACGAAACCAATTGTACGAAGGCTAAAACGTCGCAAGAAAGAAAGATACAGACATCTAAGATCTGAGCTGATCACGACGTGTTATGCGTTTGAAGTTATTACACTTGAAGTAACCACTCTAGGTTTTGTGTCGAAAGATATTGACAGATTTCGTAGATTATTACGAACACTTGAAATGAACGACGAACGTATTATTTAAAAATGTATGGAGGTAGCTCTGAGAGCAACATTCTACATTTACTGCAAAAGAAACAAGCCCTGGAATAACCCAGACTTACTGAATTTTTATTAGCTACTATTGATATAAAGTGTAAAGAATGGACCTATCTGTCTAATATAGTGAACTGTTTCTCTATTTTCCTGATTTAATTGAAAGTCTAATTATGTGATATTTGTAAAATTATCATGTCATTAATAAAGATTTCTGTTGTTTAAAAAATTATTATTATTATTATTATTATTATTATTACTATTACTATTATTATTATTATTATTATTATTATTATTATTATTATTATTATTATTATTATTATTATTATTGTTATTATTATTATTATTATTGTAGAAACAAGGATTGGTCGAATCCAGATTTAATGAACTTCTAGTTAGTCTATTACTTTTTGTATCATATAATTATGACCATGTGTTATGTAAATGTAGTAATGTATAGTGTATCAAGTAGCCAATTGTAAATTACCTTTAACAGTGAGATTTTCAATTGTAAGTGCATAAAAAATTCAATAAAGTTTTCATTATTATTATTATTATTATTATTATTATTATTATTATTATTATTATTATTATTATTATTATTATTATTATTATTATTATTATTATTATTATTATAATATTTAAACACGGTAGCCTTTCACAATTTCTGATTTTCAAAGGGCCGTGTATCACCCAAAAGTATTATACAAGAAATATTTACAACTATATAATATAGCGTACTACATTCCGCGGCCAAGCGCAAACCGCAAACACCCCCGCGAGCAAAACTCGTGAAGCCGTTTGCGGCTTTATCCCCATAGAATAAGAAGAATGGGGAACGAAACATCCCGAAATCAATTTGGTCTGTTAAAGTAAGGATCTAGTTTAGGACATAAAATCTTTCTGAGAATTTACCATGTATAAATTGTGCGTATTTATAATATAGAAAATAGACAACAGTAACTTAGACAACAGTAATTGAATCTTGTTTTTATATGTAACCTTAGTGGAATGCGCGTTCTAGTAGCACTCTTAGCGTAGTACTCTTATGCGTGGCTATGATTCATGGTGTTATGAGTGGACCCCCTTACTGATCTCAAAACTATAGCAAATTTCAGGAGTGGAAAGAGGAGAATTCGGGGGGGGGGGGGTGAATGGAAAACATTATTCAGGAACCTGAAAATCGTTAATGAGACGACAGGCTAAACAGTCTCGTTGTTTTTGCTTCATAACAAAAGATCAGGGCGATAGGTTTCTGGAAATGAAGATTATCATAAATCTCTAAATAAGGAAGAAAGCAAAGTTATTGTCATGCGAGAATTTGAAGTCATTTTATTTTATTTTAAAGTTTATGGATAAAATCCAGTTTACTTTTAAGAACATTACAAAGCATTTGTGGTTAAATTTTAAAGTAAATTGAACTTATATTACGCATAATAACATTATGGAAATTGATCATTTTGTAATTAAAAGTGATATTTTTGGGGCTTCTTTCAATTTTAAAAATATGATTAAAGAATAAAATGATCGTGTTCCCATGACAACCACTTGAATACTTCATGTTTTGAAAATATAGTGATTTTACTAGCAAGGCGAGGGGTTTATGAATGCATGTATTTCTTGGATATAAAACGGATTAGTATGGACTTAACTGTGCAAACCCGTCCCTCTAGCTATCCCCTGAAATTAGCGAGAATGACACCCCAACCCAGAGGAGGAGTGGTCACTATACCATAATGCATCGCTTCTCATTAATATTCGGAATTGAACTTTGCGAATCTTTGAGAGATGATTGTCGAAAAATTGTGGTTTTTTATCGCGATTTTTCACTCACAAGGTACGTTTTTATAATTGTTTTATTTATGACCTTAATTGCACGATTTTTGTTTTATGTGGTTGTCGTATCATGTTTCAGTTACGTTAATCACGCATTGAATTAGTTATCACGCATTGGTTTCGGGTCAGCGCACATGTTACAAAAGTGGCTTTGATATTCGCCGCGGGTTAAATACTTTTTAAATCAGGAAATTCAACAAAATTTACAGCATCGAATTCAGGAAGGGTTATTCTTTACCTTAAAACATAAAAAGACCCCTGAAACCGACGAGTAATCGTTATTTGAAAATGGGGTATATTTCAAGGCTATAAAAGAAATGGCATTGATATACGCATCACTTAAAAACGTAATGAAATGTTAAAATATCTCATTGTCTCAGTGTAACACCTCTGTGTAACATTATTCTGCAGTGTAACATTGTTCATGTATATGATTATTCAAATGTCATCTGTGACTCAATTTCCATTTTAGTAAATGACATACTTTTTTGTAGTTTCCTAGCAGAAAGATCAGGTTAACTCTTTCAAAGAAATCACCAGTGAAAAAACATAAATGGCCTTTGAGGAAAATAAAGCTTTGATCAAGTTCATATTTATTGCCAAAACAGATCCATGGATCTGGATACATTTTGTCCATAATAAAATAAAATCACTACAATTTACATTATTCTAGTAATCTATGTCACTATTATAATTGTAGGGATCCATAATAAAATAAATATGTAGGGATCCATAATAAAATAAAATAAAATAAAATAACAATTTACAATATACTACTTTTGTGTGTGTGTGTGTGTGTGTGTGTGTTGGTGTTATTTACTCAGGTGAATATGTTTGTGCATGATTTGACTCTGAGTGTGCATCCACACCGAGCCGAGCTCAGTTGGTAGAGCATTGGACTAATATCCCAAAGCTTGCCTGGGTCTGGATGCACACTCAGAATAACATCACAAACATCAATTTACAATATTCTAGTAATCTATGTCACTGTTATAATTGTTTCTTGGATCATCTCTGTCCCATGGTCCACTTTCCACAATCAGTAATGCAGCACTGTAGAGTAATACCCACCAAGCACACAGAATTTATTGGTTGTAGATCACTGTTACATCCAGTTTGCCCTTGTAAATTTATTGGTGACAGCACACTGTCCAACTCTTCATTAAGGTTACAGAACACCTTTGAGTGTTAATTTTGCCTAATATTTTTTTATTGGTCTCCATGAAAGCATTAGACTAGTTCTACTACCTGACCAAGTTTGAACGAAAAATGTTGAAAACTCGCAGAGTTATTTAATAAAATACATTTCGCTTGCAATGGGAAAAACATTGAAAATGTAATTTTCAAATTTAATTTTCTCCCGAAGAATTTTACGGCAATTACTGATTTTCAAACGAGTTGTGCTCCTGCGGCATGGCCAGAAATGAAGGACAACATGGCTGACAAGCATGCGCGTTAAGCTTACACCAAATAAATTCAAAATGGTGGCGTTATATAGATTTGATAAGAGAAAATTCAATATACGCATTTTGTGTTCGATCCCGTAAAGAAATTACACGGTCCCACGTCTAAACATTTATCAAATAAGGCCAGTATTAAATTAACTCCCAGAAATCTAGCGACAATCCGAGTAGCGTAGATATGTTCCCGAGAGATTTATATTTCTACTTCTCGCTTTGTATATAAACGCCTAATAAATCGACATGATTTGCCGAAGTGAGGTTTTCCAACACGTAAATTTGGCCACATATGGTCGACTTTTCGAACGGTCCCACGTCTACGCATATTCGAGGTGGACAATACTTTCCTTTTAGCAGCGTCTAAAGGCTCAACGGCTTGCTTAAACCTGTTCCCGAACGCCTTGAAACATAGCATTTTCATGCCGCAGATTCGTCAAAATTTAGTCCACCCAGTGCTGGGGAATAGTCGCTAAACTAGCATAAACAAGCAAAATATGCTCGCCACTTCGCTTCTTGCTGCCATTTTACATTCCTGAGTTGTTTTGAGTTGTTACTAGGTTACCAGGGCCTATACCGCTGTATTATTTTTAAATTTGCTCGTATATTCATAAAAACAAGCGCGGCAAATTTAATATATTTGGTTAGTGTTGGCGAAGATTCGTTCTGAGATTTCAATAATAAAGGGGATTACTGTTGCCAGTATTAGTGTCTACGTTTATTTTTGTTTGATTACAGCTATACATAGTGTTTTGCATAGGAGCGATTGCAGAATACCCGTCTACTTTTGAAGACCTCACTTGTTATCATGATATTAAGATGATACGAAGTGAAAATGGTTACGTAATAATTGTATACTCACGCTATTATAAAGCGTGGGTAAGCTATATTTTGCGTTATTGCGCGCGTGTTATGATAACAAGTGAAGTATTTAGAAGTGGACGGGTATATTCTGCAATAGCTCCTTATAGAATCGAACCGCCATTTTGAATTTTTGAGATTTTGAGCCCACAGGTCAATCCGCTGGCTGACCTCGATTTCTGGCCATGGGTTTTAACGAATTTCTCTCAAATTTTCACAGGAGATAGCTGAAGACGTCAGTTTCAAAATTGTGTTCGGCTTTGTTCTAATTCTGGATATTTTAATAATAAAGAGCAATTCACTAAAAACAATTCAGAAATATATTGCAGTCGTCAAAGAAATCGCCATATCAGTGGAATTACGAAATAAACAAAAAAATTCCGAACACAATTTTTTAGAACAACTATTTTACTGTTTAAAAATGATATTTTCATATATATAACTTAAAACCAGCAGGAGCACAACTCGAAAGCGTAACGGTACCGCGATTTACGATTTTTCTGAATAATTCTTACATTATTTTATTGTTTGTTAATTTTATAACTTTACCATATTTTGCATGCACTGGCGAACATTTGGTGAAAATTTGATGAAAATCGGACTGATTTTGAGCGCGCAGTAGCGATTTTCCGCAAAACGCCAAAAAGGGTGTCCTGTAACCTTAATAGTATCTGGATCTCGAGGTTGAATTGTTTGAGAAGGTGGCGATGGCAGAATATCGAAATCCCACAAAATAGCATTCTCAAAGATAAGAGATTATCCTGTTCCATCTCGCCTGAGATCACTGAGGTCGGAGAACTGCAACATATGAAAACAATCTTCTGTTTAATTCCCTTTAAGTGCCAGTGCTCTCCCCTTGACAAGTAAAATTATCTGGCGTTAGACAGAGCAAAATATTAAAGTAGGACGCATGCAGGCACAATGCCACTCAATGGGTTAATTAGACACATAGGCAGATAGGCCAGCTGCCATTAGACAGAGTAAAATAATCTGGTGTTAGACAGAGTAAAAAAATAAAGTAGGGCGCAATTAATGTGACTCGATGCAATTCAATGGGTTAATTACTTTAATAGTACGATCAAACCAAATGAACAGTCTAAGCTTCTCTAACTTAAACTATTTTTTAGCTCTATATGCATATATTCAAAATAGAAAGCACAAATATTGTTGCCAACATTGGCTATAAAAATCTGAATCATAGAAAAAGTAATTAAAGAATTGCGTAGCTAGATTGCCTTTGTATTGGCTTTAAGGATTAAAACAAACAACTTTAATACCCTAAGAACACAACTGGAATGTATCTCTATACTCTATCAATGCTGGGCTATTGCAATCGGCGAAGATTTCATCAACTTTTAGAGACAATTAATAACGATTCTTCTTATGTGAATCTCAAGCTTTATGGTGGTGAATCGGCTTTACAAAATCCGCTATATTTCTCACTCTTGTTGTTTTGATAGTGAAGATCAAGCGAACAATAAGCGCCCGCTCGTAGAAAATCAATAATAAATAATTAATCGGAATAATCGCGATGTATCACGGTATAGTGACCAATCCTCCTCTGACCCCAACCTTTGCAATAGTTGCTGGTGAGTTATTGAATCAATAATTGTTTTATTATTTATTTGTAATTATTTCGAACTCAAGAAGACGCCAAGCTGTTGAAAATGGAACAACAATAATACAGTGTGATGGCCAAGCTTCTTTTCTTGTAGACACTCTTCAAAGATCACTTTCTTCCTTTTGTAGCTTTCTGTGTTTTTCGAGTCTTTTTCTTCGAGCAATACTTAAATTTCAGCTTCTCCAAGGTCGGCGAACCTTTCCTTTGAGGAAGCCATTTGTATTTTCCCGCTTTTGGCATAAGCCGCATAAATTAGCGTGACGTCATAGCATGTTACATTGTTTTTCAATCTACCACGAAATTACGCAAACGTGGTAGATTGAAAAACAATATTCCATGGCGATGTCAAAACTCCAAATTTGGGCAGCTACCGAGCGGATATGACAACTTCACCGACAGCTCTTAGCTAATCAAAACATTTGAATTTACTTTCAATAAATAAATAATCGGAATCATAGCATGTCAACATTTTCTAATTTCAGCTAATTAAAAGCAGTTCTTGAATTACTTTTAATTCAATTTATACAATAGTGTCAATAGTTTTAATATGAAGTCGGATGTATTTTGATACTGCTTTTTGATACATTTATTCCACCTACTGATCTCAAACTAGAAATGGATAGAGCAGCCTTTAAAATTCATGGCATTAGTTTTGAAGCCAGAATATTTATGAGGAAAGAATTTTAAATGTATCACATTTCTTACGAATCAAATCGTTACGTATTTAAACTAGTTAAACTATCAAGAAAATATATTTTTCTGCGTAACGTGAAAGATATAGTTCCCCACAGCTCTTTTAATTAGTTTAAGAACGTTTTAAACACGATATAATGAGACTTGAGGCGCGCACATTGATGTGATCTCATTGGCGTGTTCTGTTGCCTTTAGAAATGCTTACTCAGCTTTTTTTGGAAGGAGAGGAAGGCTTGAATTGCTGCAAATTGTGTTGACGTTTCTTACTGCTATTTGTAGGGCCATAATTTTGAATTTACCGACAAGGATCATGAATTTGGAGACGTGTTTTTGCCAAATAAACCTGTTACGTGAGAACAAAAAGATCTCATATCACAAAGATAGACAGCTGATACAAATCGTAATGCGCAGAAACAACTGTAGGAAATATAAACATCAATGCTGATGTGATCATGAAACTTCACCGTCGTCTCAAGTCGAGCACGATATTTTAAGCTGTGGAATGAAGCGAGGGTACAAATTTCGCCCGGCTATTTACACCCGGGGAAACGAAAGCATTTGCGAAGTCCAAAATCATCAATGATCGCGGGCGTGGGTGACCAACGGTGTTGGAGTGCTGGTGGGTAGTCATCCTCACAGATCTCAAAAATATGGCGGACTGTCATGAATATAGTGAACACTGATTGGTCAAATTTAAAATTTGCATTATAACGACTGCATGACGACAGCGAAATAGCAAACATTTCTTGATTTGCTGATTTCTTGCAATTATATATTTATTTCATTTTTGCAAGATTTTGTGAATTTCAAAAGCTTTCTAAGAAATAAAGGCGAAAGAATTGCTAAAAGAAGGGAGTAAAGTCGCCGACGTTAATTAACGAAGGCAGGTTTATTTTCAATATTGATGTATTGTTCGCTCTATAATAGCTTTAAAAGCTGATCGTTACGTATATTTTAAATGAAAAAGACAGCATATAATTTCAGTATTTCTTTATTGATTACCCTTTTTTATTAGGATACTTTACACTTTACCGTACCCGTGTACCGCCAGTATTTGATGGCGTGTGTTCTGGCGGTTTTTCCGTTCTTTTATTGGCGTGTTTTGACGGCGAATGTATTCAGTGATTACTCCGGTACGGTAAAGTGTAAAATTTCCTTTTATTATATTAAAATTTTTAAATAAAAAAAGAAAGCAAATTTGTTTGAATGTGAGAATTTGAAATCATTTTATTCCAAGCTCAAATTAGGTTTAAGAACATTTTAAAACGTCTTGCGAAGCGTTTGAGATTGAATTTTACCTTAAATTGAAGCTTATAATTGGGAACGAGGATAATACTCTATCCAGTCCTAGTTTTCAGATCTGTGAGTCCATCCTTCGAACTTCCACTATAACTTTGAATGGGCCGGGGCACGCAGGATGGTTATTGTGAAATTACAGTATTTGTCCCATAGTTCTTGGCAAAGACGGTAGAAAATTAAAATTATCATGCAAACATATTTGAAGAGGTCTCTCGGGGTCGATAAATTAAACCAATAAAAATACGTTACCGCTTGTATGTGGGAAACAGAATTTTAATTTAGTCATATTACATGCACCTTTATATTTGGCTTTCAAAATCAAAACGCTTTGTTGAAAGTTTCTCGTTTACACCTATTCCATCTCAACAGTAGAATATCCTGTTCTACTAGTACTAAGGTTACATCATATGATAGATTGGAATTCCTGTTTCAGAAAAATTGCCACTTTTTTATTTATGTTCCTCAAATTTGGTACATGCAATAATAACTAACTGTAGAAGCTACTGTTTTAACCAAAATTCACCACCTTTTAACCTGTAGTCCCAATGCGACATTTTTTGAAAAATAGCACCTCTTGCGCCACGAGATTTAACGACAGACCGTTTATAACTCAGGAGCTCCCAAAATATCATATTTCTCATCTCAAATGTCCAAAGAAAAAAAGCGTGTTCGCATTTTTTGACAGCTATTGTATTCGCTTTGATATAAAGCAGACAACTTGACTTGCATGTACCATATCTTAAACCAAATCACCTCAAACTAAATCAAGGGTGAGTGTTGACAATTAATGGGTAATTGATGTGTGAAATGAACCATCCATCTAGAGAGAAGTGGCATGAATTTGGTTCAACAGTAAATTCAACCAATAAACAACTCCCCAAAAAATTAAATGAGTGGAGAAAATTCAGCTTGTAAGGGCAAGCATATATCGATAGTAGTGAGCGAGCGACACATTAACCCTTCAAGTGGCAATGCGCCCTCCTTTTTATTTTACTCTGTCTAACGCCACATTATTTTACTCTGTCTAACGCCACATTATTTTACTCGTCGGGGGGAGAGTGCTGCCACTCAATGTGCCATCTCACCTTAACATTACAGTACATGTAGCAATTAATCTAATTGACTACTTCAAAAGCAGTATTTAACAGGGAAGCGAGTGACACATTAACAAATTACTGTAATCACTAGTACAGAAGTATAGTCCAATTGCATTTTGCAATTAAAAAATCATATCAATACCTTCCATTTCATGAAAGAAAAATTACTTCATTACAGTGTTACCTGTGTCAAATGGGTCATTTGTCCAGGACGGATAGGAGATGTGCCATCTCACCTTAACACTACATATAGCAATTAATCTACTTCAAAAGGAGTATGTACAGTATCTAACATGGAAGCCATTGCGCAAGTGTCACCTTAACTTAATATAATTAGTCACTGGTACAGTTCAATTTCATTTTGCCATTGAAAGATTATATCGATGCATCACCATTTCAAGAAAGAAAAATTACTTCATTATAGTGCTACCTGTGTCAAATGGGCCATTTGGCTAGGACGGATAAGAGATGTGCCATCTCACCTTAACACTACATGTGGCAATTATTCTACTTCAAAATGAGATTCTATCAAGTGTTGCAATAAGCACTTTATTAAGTTTACTTTATCTTTTGACATGGTTGAGAAATAGAATTATGTTTGGCAATTTTATAATGTGAACATTATATAATAATCAATATTTTAATTTCGCTCTTAAATAGTAATGCTCAGGACTCTCCCAGTGGCCATTGATAGGTAAAATTACCTCATAAGATCCCCTTGGCAAATAAAATCAAAATTGTCTGGCGTTAGACAGAATAAAACAATAAAATAAGGTATATTTGGGAACATTGCAGCTTAATGGTTAAAAATCAAAAATAAAATTAGAGTTGGCAAAAAGATATTCATGAAGCATCAGCTCAGGTCCAGCTGTGTAGTGTATACTATATCATCTTGCACAGGATTGGATTTTAATGATGGCGCTGGTAATGGCAATGGCGGTCGGGTGTGCCGGACCAGTGAACTCTAATAATAACTGGAAGGCTAAGTCAGGGGAGGGGGAGTTGACGCCGTGCTTGAAGCTTACCCAGTCCTTTTTAAATTTTTTTTTCAAAATATGCACATTTTTTGATCAGAAAAATCTTGCCCCAAAATATTAGTTATACTACCAAATTTAATTTATATCAGTAGTATGATAAATTAATTTAATATTCGCAAAGCAAACATATCACGAATTAGCAAAAAAATGCGAAAAAACACGACCATAAGCATGAACAGTCCGAAAAATCGCGCGTTTTAGGCTGCTTTTTCTGAGTTTTTGGAAGTTTAAGATAAAACTAAGACGTCACACCTCAGGAATTATTTAAACCCATGCAAAATACATCTGTATGCGAAGTTTTGAGAAGATTGAACGTTTTAAGGTCGAAAAAAAAAGCATTTAAAAATTGACAAAAATATTGCCATATTCAAAGTGCTCATAGTGACCAACACGAAGAGCGATGAATGCCAATTTATTTATGTTTTAGAAGGAATAAAACAAAGGCTAAAAGCTCAGGATCAATAACAATACCTGGGGTTTACTACAACATACGTTTTGGGACTGTCAAAATGTTTTATAGTATTTTTTTTTTAGTTGAAGAGCGAGGTTTCCTTCGGCACGTCCAAACTTTCGTCATTTTTTTCAAAATACAAAAGCAAAATTCCTTACTTTTTGCTGCAGAAAGATGTAAAACAGTTGGAACTAATCGGAAAACCTGGTTTGAATCCCAGTCATTGCAGTATTCTCATGGAAAAAGTGTTTTTCTTGGACATTTTTGCTCGAAAACAAACTTTTGGCAGAATTTTTTTCACTCCTCGAAACTCTCCTTAGTCTTTTTGAAAACTGATTTTCCCGCGCGCCGGCTTCAACGAATCATAGACTTTCATCATAGGAGTTAGCCTTCCAGTTATTATTAGAGTTCACTGGGTGTGACTTGGAAAGTTCTATCGTTGTAGAAGACCATTTTGCTTTCACGCAACGTAGACTACACATGATAGAGAAAATGAGCAACTTTATAATACGACAAGCCTTCTTTACTCAGAGAATGAATTTATCTGGGAAGGATCATTAGATAATCTAAAAGCATTTGTACAGCACGAATTAAAGCTTCGAGGAAAATGGACTTCTCCCGAAGGCGAAGTGAAGCTATTTACTGGTGTAAATGTCAGCGTTAAATGACTTGGAAGAAAGAAGAGAAAACTTACGATTGCTAGTGATGATATAAACAAAACCCTGATCGAAAAGATGAAAATTATTGCTGCCAAATCGAAGAATATTAATACGCACAAGAAGCTCAGCGAAGTGTGTGCAGCAAAGCAGAGCGAACAAAGCATGGCTAAATGGACAGATATCGAAGAACCTCATAGTTCCTCGCTGGTAAATGCATCGGATGTCAATTTACAGCCAGGAAACAGTGCGCCTAGTCAAGATACTGATACAATATTTTGTCAAAAATCGAACAGTTTGAATTGTTGTAGTTGTTATTGCAAAAACTTTGCTTCGCAACTCGAGCGTATCGAAGGTGACTTGCTTCAACTACGAAGTAGAATGGATGTTCGTGAAATTGAGGACTTAAAACTGCCCTGTGATCATACTTCGTTACGTAAGGAAAAGGATCGATTGCAGCGTGAGTTGGAGTTAGCTAAATGTACTATCTCAAAACTTGAGGCGAAAATAAGTGAATTACAAAATGAGAAGTCGAGTCTGACAACTGTGATTAAAATTTTGCACGAAGACAATACATGCTCACAACATGTTAATCATGCTGATATGACTAATTTAAAGGATCTGGGTATTGAACACAAGGTTCCTGGTAATAGTAATAAGCGAAAGAAAATCTCTACTCGAGATTCTTTTAATAAATTCACGGTAGGAGGGGATAGCAATAATCTTAACCTCCATAATACGTATGAAGTGTTGTCAGTTGAAGACAGTAATCCAGTGGACACCGGTGTGTCTTTTGCAGCTCCGACATCTTACAAGCATAAGGATAACGATGAAGGAAAAAGTCTACGAATACCAGTCAACCTAACAAAGAAACAAATCAGCCCGTTGATGGTCAACCTGACGCTAAGAGATCTGTCATTATTGCAGGTGATTCGATCATTCAGCATGTCCATGGCTGGGAAATTTCCCATGAAAGTTGCAATGTGGCCGTGAAATCGTTTTCTGGAAGCAAAATAGAGGACATGAAAGATTACTTAAAACCTTTAATTCGAAGGAAGCCAGACGAGATTATTCTCCATATTGGAACGAATAACTTGAAAGACTAAGGTGCTACTCCACAGCAACTTGCTGAAGGTATTTCAAATCTAGGAACTCAAATTAGAAATAGTTCACCAAGTACTAAAATATGTCTTTCTGCTTTATTAATAAGAAATGATAGTTCTAATTTAGTTACTACAATTCAGGATATTAATAAGCGAGTAAGGGCGATTTGCATCAGCAAAAATTGGTTCTATATTGACAATAGTAATGTTGATAAATCTTGCCTTAATCGCAGAGGTTTACATCTTAATCTTAGGGGAAGTGATTTACTTAGTCGAAATTTTCGGCATCATCTTGTAAATTGATCTCTAGGGCAGACTGCTGTCAGTAGAATCGATACGATAAATTCTATTGATTACGGGAACCACTCAGTATTTTTATAAAATACAAAAGAACAGTAACTCTGAATAACATTTTGTTTTGATTTATTGAATCTACGTTTCGACTAGATTGTAGACATCTTCAGGATTAGTGTAAGATTACAAATACAGCTATATATATATAAAGAGAAAGAAAGGCGGAGCTTAATGCTTACATTAAGCTCCGCCTTTCTTTCTCTTTATATATAGCTGTATTTGTAATCTTACACTAATCTTGAAGATGACTACAATCTAGTCGAAACGTAGATTCAATAAATCAAAACAAAATGTTATTCGGAGTTACTGTTCTTTTGTATTTTATAAAAATTCTATTGGTTTTTCGAAAATCAGAGGTTTCGGAATGGCCATGCTTAATATCACAAGTTTACTAAAGCATATGGATGAAATTCGTGTGTTACTTACCACGAAAAATTTCGATGTTTTAGCCATAAATGAAACCAGACTCGATTGCACCATTTCCGATGATCTTGTTAGTGTTCCTAATTATGACATAATTCGTTTTGACCGCAATAGAAGTGGAGGCGGTGTTTGTATTTATATAAATAATGCCATTGGCTATTGTAATCTTAATCACAAAGTCCCTTGCAATCTAGAGGCAGTTTGTATCGAAGTTCACAAACCTTATATTATAGTAAGCCTATTATTATAGTAGGCTCAATTTACAGACCCCCTAATTGTTCCGTAGAAATATTTTCCACAATTGGTAACCGACTATGATCACCAGGAAATTTATCTTCTTGGTGATCTAAATTGTGATATGTTAGATTCGTATAGTCATGTCACAAAACGGTTAAATTTACTCATGGAATCGTACCAATTGTCGCAAGTAATTACTCAACCAACTCGTGTCACCCAGTCTTCCTCCACTCTAATAGACGTTTGCATTACTTCAAACCCGTAACATATTTTGTCTGATGTAATTCCTTTGGGAATCAGTGATCATAACCTTATTCATGTAGTTAGGAAATCTAATTCTGTTGCAAAGACCCACTCTCACAAAAGTGTTCGAGTTCGTAATTTCAAAAATTTCAATGCAAATAGTTTTCAGGAAGATTTGGTAAATGAACCATGGCACCTGATTGAGCTACAATCTAATATTGATCTCAAATGGTCACTTTGGAAACAATTTTTTCTGGGAGTCTTTGACAAACATGCGCCATTTAATTTCTAAAAGAATAAGGAATAAACATATTCCTTGGATTAATAAAAATACCAAAAATTTGATTTTCGAGAGAAATCGAATGAAGCGCAAGGCCATTATTTCTAAATCTAATGCTGACTGGAGTACTTTCAAGTCGCTTAGAAATAGGGTAAATTCTACCTTACGAAACGACAAAGAAATCTTTTATAGAAATTTGATCAACAAAAACCAGGACCCTAAAGATGCATGGAAAGAGATAAATAGCATATTGGGTCGAAAACAGCCTAAACCAATTATAAATAATCTTAAATTGGAAAATGAGGATATTGTCGGGCCTGAGAAAGTTTCAGAATGCTTTAATGATCACTTTACAAGAGTAGGCGCAAAGGTTGCGGATTCTGTTGAAAGTGGAAGTAGTTCCTTTACTGGGTACTTGACTGATGTATCCAGTGATTGTACTTTTAAATTTAACTGTGTTGATCCGCAAACTGTTTTTGATATGTTACATTCGATCTCCACATCTAAAGCAACAGGTATTGATCAAATTCCAGGCAAGATTCTGAAACTTGCTCTCCTGCCATTACACAATCCATAACCATGCTATTTAATTATTCAATAGTTACCGAATCATTCCCATCTGAATGGAAAATTGCAAAAGTTATTCCTTTGCACCAATCGGGGCCAAGAAATTTACTCGATAACTACCGTCCAATTTCAATCTTGCCAGCGATAAGTAAGGTATTTGAGAAAATTCTTTATAAGCAATTATTTATAATCATTTAAATGCCAACAGTCTCATTTCGAAATTCCAATTTGGTTTCAGACCTCTGCATTCAACCGCTGATGCCCTAGGCCTGTTACATAGCACCAATGAATGGTACTCAAACATGGATCATGGTTTGTTTAATATTGCAGTGTTTTTGGATTTGAAAAAAGCCTTTGATACGGTTAATCATGAAATTTTGACTAAAAAATTACAAGGTCCCATATTGGGGCCTCTACTCTTTCAAATTTATGTGAATGATTTGCCAAATTGTGTGGAAAATTCCAGTATTAGAATGTTTGCAGATGACACTACCCTTACTGCTTCTGGCAAGTCAATACAACAGATTGAATCTAAAATTAATTGCGACTTGATTAATATTAAAGAGTGGCGATTAGCTAATAAATTAAGTCTTAATCTTACAAAGACCGAATATTTAGTAATTGGCAGTCCATTTAATCTCAATAATCTTACATCTGAACCTAACATTACGATTGACAATGTACCCATTAAACGAGTAACAAAAACAAAATCGTTGGGTATTCAAATTTACCAATTTTTATCCTGGGACAATCATTTGGAAAAAATATGTAAAAAGGTGTCCTCGGGAATTGGTGCAATCAGAAGACTAAAAAGTTATGTTTCCCGTGAGTCACTTATATCAGTCTATTATGCTTTGATTCAACCTTATTTTGACTACTGCTGCCTTGTGTTGGGACCCAATTGGTGCTACGCTTTCAAATCGAATTCAGACTTTACAAAATAGAGCAGCAAGGGTCATATTAGTTTATAGAAATGAGCACGGTCAGTCTGAAGCAGCGTTATCCGAGTTGGGTTGGAAAACCTTAAAAGAACGCAGGCTGATCATGAAGGCCAGACTTATGTATAAAATTACTCATTCGCAAGCACTAGTTGCTTTGACCGAAATCTTTGAAAATTCACAACAAATCTATAACTTACGTACAGTAATAACGAATTCAAATTGTATTTACAGAAACCTAATACTGAATACTTAAAGAAAAGTATTGGGTTTTGCGGTGCGAAACTTTGGAATGAATTATCTGGCAATCTGATAATTGCAAATTGTTTGAATTCATTTAATACCTTGATTGCTGACACTAGCCTGCTTTAGATCGATTGTACTCTTTGTTATATATATATAATATTTATATTATTAGTGTGTGTTATGTTACTTTATTCATGTACCTTTTAAATTTGCACGCCCTCCTTGGAAATCAGCATTTGCTGAAGGAGTAAGCGTGTCTAAATAAAGTTTTATCTTATCTATCTCTTACAGAGTATTAATAAAAGAAATTCCACCGTTCAGTAATCAATATAAAAACATTTAATTCAACATTACCTTTGCCATTGAAATGTAATGAATAAAATATTGTTGTCTGTGTTGTTGTGCGTAATTTGAACAGAATGCACAAAATTTTCCATTTCTATATGTATATGATATAGTCGACGTTGGGCTTTGAACAGCCATTTCCGATTTTCCAGCACCCTCGTGAAGTTAGCTGACAATAGTGCAGCTTACAAATGACTGACAATGAAGCTAGCTTACATAGCAAAAATCACAATAAATACACTTTTCATGCTTTCAAACCTTCAATAATCTCATTCTAACAATGTATTTAAGCTTTTGATAACATATCAAGAACAATTAACCGGCCGGAAACACAAAATATCAATATTTCGCGTGCCGACATTTTTCTTAGTAATTTGTATGCACTAGTCGACACTTAGTCTCTGGCACGCAAATTTCCTTCCGTGTAGTGAGCACAGATTTGTATGCACGGTAGATGGAAAATGTGAAACGGCCATCCTATTCTAACATAAATTCTATCTAAAACGCTTTAGCTTCGCCCTTCAACATCCCAATAATTCATTTTGTCATGTAATGGAATTTTCAGGAAACATTTTGATCATTCCATTGAAACCTCGACTTCGTCTCGGCGAATATTCCCCGATAATCACCTCGTCTTCGGCGAATAATTGTTAAATATTGTGTAAAATTTGCTGGGTCCAAATTTTGGGGTTTTCGAGTCGTTACGCAAAGAAAAACACATTATTTCAACATGCAAGAGAGTCCAGAGTGCGACACGACGTATTTTCCATAGGAAACCGGCACAATTCTTTGAAAATTCAACGACACTGAGTGAAATGCCACCATTTTGAAACCGAACTAAATATGTCACTGGAGCACTCTATCCTTGGAGTTCGGAATTGTGCGCGTGCGTACAAGTGTATGGGCTAATAAACGAAAAATGTACCACAAGCATGGTATTTCACCTAACATAGCTGCTATTCACTCCCTTCTCTCTGGATCCTTCAGTGAAATCGCTTGTTGAAGCCCATCAATCGAGGTTTTATTTTTAATGACTATAAAATTACCTTTATTTACTATTTTAATACACTATCGTTACATACGAACTGTTCTATTTCTTTTATTTACAAACTGAAACCCGATATAATTAAGGCCTAAAGATATGATACTCGTGAGTTGGAGTTGTCAATGAAGAAGTGTTAATGAGCGATTTGGAAGCAACATGTTCTGGATGGCTGTTTATATAGTGTTTATTGTCAGAGTGATAAATTATGTAAATTAATCTACTTGACGACCGTGCTTTACTGTCTTTGACTGTCTTCTCATGGACAACACAAGCTCACTTAATAGAAACACATAAAACGTTTCTCTGATCAAAGTATATTTTAATCAAAGCATTTAACAGTTTAAAATATTCATATTGTGTTTATATGGGAACATGGGAACCAGGCTGGCTCGCCTAAGCGAGATCTTGCTTAATTTGTGAAGCCCAAACAGATCTCGCCTAGGTGGGCTGGCTCGCCTATAAGCCACTGAGTACAAATATATTGTTGCAAGTAAGACATTTGATCTATAATTATAAAAAATAATTGTTTTGGTGCGTCAGCACGCCACAGAATAAAATATATATAATACCCTGCCATATAGTCTTTTAGTTAATTCGTTAAATTATTACTTTGTAATAACTGTTAAGACTATGTTGCGAAGTTAATAAATGAAATGAAATTAGCTCAGGTAACCTGGCTGGCTCTCCTCCATATAAACACTGCCTAAGACATTAGTTTATAAAACATTTTAATCACAGAAACTTATATGATGTAAACAAACTCAACTAATAATTACTAGTATATTTTTTCACGCTAATGGTGACTAAAAGCTTGCATATAAGAACCTACAATTTAAGAACCTGTCAGGCTAATTTTTTTATTTAGACACCCTAAATAAGAATTTGTTTAGGCTAGCATTTCAGGTTCTTATTTTAACACATGAAGACAAATCAAATCTAAAAATGTATATAAATCAAAGAAAATATACTCTTTACAAAGTAACGAAAATGATCCAGAACACTGAAAATGTCATTGAGATAAATAAAGTGTTAGCAGCTTTACAGTATAGCTTTACAATAGGTATTAGTTAGATAATTTGTGCACAATTTACATATATGTATATAAATGTAAATTATACCTCGCATACCAAAAATGAGTCGCTTTTCTTTAAGAATTTAACCTAATTTCCAAGCTCGAATGATCAAGTAGTCACTACATGTATTGTCCAAAGGTGGGGTCTGGGGGTTTGAAATCTGAGCTTTCTTTCTCCTAGATAGATTGCCTCCTACACAAGGCAATCTGGAACACAAGCCAGTTCATATTGGACTATGACTGCCTGATTTTGTGTCACAAAAAGTGGTACCATCCCATATATGTTGTCAGAACAAGCTGCCATGGCCTGTTTTGTGACATGAAATCAGACAACACAGTAAAACCCTGCATATAATAAGAACCTAACTAGATTTTTTCCAAGTTAGCCTAAACAGGTTCTTATGTGAATGGTGCTTGCCTGACTGTTCATGTCACAAAATGTAATTATATTTAGTATATTCAGTATTTTCATGGAGGCATAAGTTTTCTTTTAATGTATGTATATGTGTGTTAATAATAATTGTTTATAAATTATTTGTATTATCATATAACCCAATAAATCTGTTAAAAAAGAAAGATTCGTTGATGTAAATAAAAATTTAATCAGTGTTTCCTGAGCATTGTGATGAGCTCTGATATAGAGCGAAACAAGCATATATTTAGCAATTGTCCTGTCCTCTGCATGTCTTGAAGAGACATGATGAACTAACGTGATCACTAGATTGACCAGATTTGTTGAAGTTAATAATAGATCATCATAATTTAGTGTCAATATGAGAGTAATATCAATTAATGAATTCATACTTCCAGTTCATAATTTCAAAACATACATTTTTATAACACAAAAAAGTTGAATATAATCTTAGCGTCTCGTACTCTCGTCACTGTCAATCTATTGAACTCTTCTGTTGTTTATAACAGCATCCGAAATCATCTCCATAGCGCGCACGAGCTTGAACAAAAGCTGTTTATCCAGCTTTTGCACGGTCAAAAATTTCGCCCTTGGCTTTACCACGAAGACAGGAACTGCAGCCACATTCTCGGTCACACTTGTTTCGAATTTCGTCAAGCGAAAAGCTTTCCCCAAGCGCTTCTGTCATAATGACAACAACAACTCTGGCAACATGTTTGGAGGGATTGATACCGCAGTAACTATTTTCATGTCAATTCATTATGAGACACAAACTCCAAAGGTAAGCACAAATTATTCGAACTCACACCTTTAAATACATTGTTAGAATGAGATTATTGAAGGTTTGAAAGCATGAAAAGTGTATTTATTGTGATTTTTGCTATGTAAGCTAGCTTCATTGTCAGCCAGTTGTAAGCTGCGCTATTGTCAGCTAACTTACGAGGGTGTTTCTCAGCTTCTAAAATACTTGTCTTCAGAATTGAAATGAAAACAGTAAACGCAAGATAAATCAGACAAAGCTACTTGTAAATCAAAACGCGCGCAAGTCTTCTTATTAAACTGAAATTGCAAATTGACAATGCAGAGAATAGCCTCAGGTCAATATTAAAAGCAGTCGTATTATATGACAATCGCAGACAACAATCATTACATTATAATTCACCCATTATTATAATAACTCACCTTATTTCTTTCGACGTACGTTTATCACATCTCTGAAGTTACAGGCGAAGTAGTTCTAATCACTTCGTCTACTTCTCTCTCAAAGTGGAATTCTTAGTATTGATCTGTGAACCACACGTTTTGAATTGCATATTTTGGCGGCCAGACCGTTGTCATTCAAATACAAACTGCAACCATCCTCGCTTCTTCCTCACTCTGTTTTAAAGCCATCTTTATGGTTGAAATGTGAAAATACTAAAGCCATTTTAATCAGTTTGTATCGCTTTCATCGCACTGACACTTGACCTTTCAAGTCCTCGCACCACAATTGCACACATTTCCCTGCCTCCTCCGCAGGCCCTTCGTTGGGCACAGTGCAGTGCAATTGCAATATATGTAGATCAGTGGCTGTGATATCATTGCCGGGCAATGCATGATGGGATATTGAAATATGGGAAGCTTTCCTTTCCTTCGCCTTCCCGTTATTCTTCGCGCGTCCAACAAAGAATTTTTTCTCGTTTTCGTCTCCTTGAAAGCGACTGGGGACGAGGCAGCACATTTCCCATACAAACGACTACAAACTAATACCACTATCGATTGCAAGAAGAAGGTATTAGATTTCACGGCGGCACTATCCTAGCTCATTGGTTGAATCTTGAAAGCTCGATCATGCGGCGCGCGAATATTCAAATATTTTGGCTTCGTAGTGTGTTACTGCTATTGCATAGCGTGTTATGATTTGAAATGAAATATTTTGAGGTTCAACTTTGATTGCCTGTACTGCTCGCATTCTTTTAACTTTCCAGTTTCCAATCTGTATGATGAAATGCATAATAACACACATGCCATGGGAACTATTTCTGCTATTATGCCCAGTTAACACTTGTGAATCTGCAATAAATTAATATGCGGCTGTTTCAGCTTTCAGGCTGCCGGTAAATAATATTTGGATAAAATATTTGCCAATTAATTTGGCGATACCTGTAATCGGGCGGCCATAACCTGTGATCTAGACCGTGTTTTTTGTAAAAGTGTGTTAGTTTAAGAAGTGTGTTTTGGAAATGTGTTTGTTGGTCAAATGTGTTTAATTTCTTCTGTGCAGTGTGTTTTTCGTTTAAAGTGTGTTTATCTTCAAACTTGGGTTAATAAACACACTTTTCACAGGAAGCGTTACGTGCTAACTAACACAGTAGAAAAGGTGTGTTTTTCTGAAAGTGTGTTATCTACAATCCCGGACATAAATTATTGGCAAAAGGGTAAAAAATAAGAAAATTCATCGAATTTCACCCCCCTTCCCCTAATATCAATGTTCATGGGTGTATTCGAGGCCAGATAACTTGGCCAAACATTGATATTGGGGGAAGGGGGCATCATTAAGACAAACATGTCTTAAAATTATATTTTGAAGTAATAAACTAGTTTTTGCCACTTTTTTTGTCCAGGATTGTAATACATTTACCTCCATCGCTGTGTGTTAAGCACTGCACACTGTGTGTTACATAACGCACACTGTGTGTATTTAACTCACAAAGGTGTGTTAAGTCGAAATTGGAACAGTAAAATGTGTTGTATAACACACATAAGTGCTATATATAACACATTTTTGTGTGTTTTGCAACACGCCTATTTCTAAAAGTGTGCAGCATATTATCAATACTTTTCACCAAATTTCCAATATTTCTTACTCTCCAAGGATAGTATGGCATCAAAATAAGTCTGTGATACCGACAAAAGAACACTCAAATCACTACTTGCAAAATGTCTTTATTTCTACAATTACTATACATAGGGCCGTAGCTAGAAC